AGTTTCTGGGGGCTGGGGATTTAGCTCAGCAGCATAAGCGCCTGCCTTGCAAGCAGGCAGTCGTGAGTTCGATCCCTGGTACCGATAAAAAGGAAAAAGACAAAAAAAAAAAAAAAAGTAGTTTCTGCCTCTACCACTAAACACAGTTTTTTTTTTGTTTTTTTTTTCACAGAGAGACTCTGAATTTAGGACAACTAAAAAGACAAAGGAGAGATAAGCTCCCTAGACTTGGGAGACATGTTAGGCAACACAATTACCAAGAAAGCCAACTCCCCTCACCCACCTAACAAAATGCAAGGGCGATAAGAGACCGACGCCTAAGGACGCTTAACATATAAGACACACATGTATGTATGTTCTCACTTTAACACTGGTACAATAGTACACCAGAGCCACATGCCACATGCCCCCTTTACTTAATCATTAAATGAGCTGCCTTCCTGGTAAGCCCTCTGTCTTCATTTATTCCTTACAAAGAAATAGGAAAAAACCAAAAGGCCAGAAGGTCTAGGTTAGGATCAAAGATAGTCAAGGAAACAGATCGGATAAGGACAAGGGCCCACCTTTGGGATGCAAAAGACACTAGTCCCCAATAAAAGAGCCAGGGGTAAGAAGCCCTTCCTCCTCACGGTGGCTATCATCTTTCTTTTCATTGTTTCCCCTCAAATAAACCACCTTTCGATATACAAAACTTTGCCTTTTGTTAGTTCTTTATAGATGCTGGGTTCCAGGGTCTCTAAGAACTGGGTTTTTAGCAGAGAAGCAATGTGGCATATTATGACATGGCCAGCTTCCCACCCCTACAGGTAACAGGCTCTCTCATCCATTTTTATTGGTCATTTTCCTATTGTTGAATTTGAAGTTTTCTTTGTTTTGGGAAAAAAATTCCTCTCAGATATATCATTTGCATGTGTTTTCCCTGTCTTTTCATTCTCTTGACTATCTTGCACAAATCTTAATTCCACACAAACTGATCAGTTTGTTCTTTTGTGGACATGCTACTGGGATTATCAAAGTGCCTGACTGCTTCTCTGCCTGCAGCCCCGGCTTCTGCCTTCCCTCCCTCCCTCTGTCCTGTAAGGCTTGAATCAGATCGGACTCTCTCAACCTGCTGGCTCACAGAGGTTCAAGTCTCAGCAGGAAACTCAGCTTAACACCAAAGAGAGCAGTAGTCCACAAGCACAGGATGTCATAAAGGAGACAAAATAGAGAAAGGAAGTTTGCAGGTCCGGGGGACATCTGAAAATTTACACCTGACCTTCAAGGGGCCCACTGAGATGCAAGACAGCCAGAGAACTTTGACCACAGATGTTTATTAAAATATTTCCACCACTTTGCTCTACTCAATATTCTGTTTTGCTAGGTTTTTATAATGTTCTTTTTTGGTTTGATTTTACTATACCTGATTGACTGGACAACTTTTGGTGAAGATAATGAGATATACTATGGTACCTATTACTTTTATCCTGGTAACCTGCTGTTGGGAGCAGAAACCAGGGGTCCGGCAGTGAATGAGTGTGGAAAACCACACTCTGAAGCTGGACCTCAACCAGTTCCTCATCCTGCAGTAACCTCAGCCTTCTAGACAAAGCATCGCGCTGATATTAACCTGGAAATAGCTTCATAACATAAGCAAAGAAGTTTCTCATGGGCCCAGGAACATGTTTACCTTTGCTGCATGCACAAGAAAGTGTCCTGAAGTGACTTGTACTGCTGTTTGTTTTGAAACACTATAAAAACTCTGGAGTCCTTTAATAAATCGCCTTTTGCCTCCTGAGCAATTGGTCTCCCTGTGTCTTCAGTCTCTCGCCTGACTCCTTCCCCGCACTGGCCGCGGCACCTGGCAACCTGCTATGAAGTTCTGTACCAATTTCACTGCGTTGTCTCAATTAGCTTTGTTCTGTCTTGTTCTGTTGTATTTTACTACCTTCATAAACAATCTTTTTTTCTGTCTAAGGTCCCCTGCCTTCTTTCCATTCCTATAAAAGGGACGCACTTCTCTTTGTCCCCTGCAGATGGCCTTATTGCTCTCTGCCTGCCTGTACCCAGGTATTAAACCATAGTTAAGATCACAAAAAGCCTGTTGAGTGGTCTCTCACCCTGCATTTGTTAGACCTCCCTCCCTCCCTCTCTAGCTTTTCTTTTTTCTTTTTTTTTTTTTTTTTCTTTTAATACCGGGGAGTGAACTTTGGGCTTTCACGTTGAGCTACTATGTTAGTCCATTTAAAATTTTTAATTTTGTGCCTGAAGTCTCTAAAAATTGCAGATTGTCAGATAGGGCTCTCAGTCTTTAAACCTCCTTAAGAGCTGGGTTTGCAGGACTGTGCCAGCAGGTCTTCAGATCTGTGTTTTCTAATTTGGCTAATAACAGTAAGGGTACTGACCAATCAGAATTGAGCTATCCCACATAATTCAATTAGAACAAGATTTTTAGATGCCCTTACTTCAATCAAGTGGGCATAAATACTACCTTGACATTAATTTTATTTATTTATTTATTTATTTATTTATTTTTCAGGGCTTTGTGTTGCATTTTGGGTTTGTAGCTTCGGTGGGTTAGGTTTTGATGTTTTGCAGTCTCCTGAGAAGCAATGCTGCATCCCGAGAAGCTGAGGAGCACTGAGAGGTGCCAGGCAGGCTTGCTCTGAAGCTATTTGCAAAATAGTTTCCTCCTGAAGTGAGAATTTTCGTAAGTGTCTGGGTTTCTCCATCCACCCCAGACATTTCTGACCTGGTGAGTCCCTTTATGAGAATCTATGAATGCAGAGCTTGGCACTGTGACCACCTGGCCTGGGAACCCTTTCCCTGAACACCCAATGGTAAAGAGAATAAGCTGTTACCTATGTGTATGTACCTCATCCTGGAATGGGCCTCGGGGCAGTGTGGCTCCTTCTTCCTGGACCTGATTGGCTCCCAGGGTGTCTTCAGGTAGGGAGCAGCATGCTGAGGTTGAGTGGCAGGAAGAGGCAGCTGGCTGAGAACCATCGAGAGTCTGCATTTAGCATGGCACCCGGAAGTCATGTCGATTATGGGGGCAGGTTTGTGCCATCTGAAGGATCAACACTATGTCCAGGAGAAATGGTCCTACCTCACTGCTTAATGTTACCAGGAACTACCATTAATGTTAAGGATGCAAACTTGTGTTCTGCTGGATAGGGAGCTAAGATGCCATGTTACTGTGTTTTTATTCTTACTGCATTTTAGAGTTGCATGGAGTCAGGTCCACATGGGGTCAGGTCCCCTGTGCAGCGAGCTCTGAGTTTTGACTGTTCTTGTGTCATTTCAGGGGTGTGTAGTTATACTCAGTGGACACAAGAGTTAAAAATAGATCCGCACACTCTGCTCTCTATAGGAGATTCAAGATAACAGTCTTCTGTGACCTTCTGAATGAATCTAAATTGACATTTAAGGCCTTGCAACATAGCACCCATAAAATTTGCCAGTCCCTCTAAATGCCCTGTAGAATGCATGCCATGCCCTGGGAAGCCCACTGTTGCCTCTCCTACAGACCGCTTTCCTATAACAGCATGAGTGAGGGTCCCAGGAGCAGGTTCTGTCCAAATTCCTTCTCCTCTTCTGAGACCCAGAGATTGGGGCTCCTTATGTGCCTTCCTTCCAAAGTGGCCAGGAGGAGGCTCTTGCTGGCCATGGCCTCAGAGCTCACTGCACCTGGGTCCATGCCCCATCTGGACCTGGTTCCATGCTTCATTTCTCTCATCTTCTGCTCTTTCTGATGCTGTTTTTCCTCAGTGGAGTGTGGTTCACAGAGAAGCCATGGGCTTTGGGGGACTTGACTGTTTGTTTTCCCATTTTCATTTATAAACACACAAAACATATGACAGAAAACTAAAAATCCCACCTCACCACTGAACACTACTCAGAGTGTCTCCTGCTCCCTGCTCTTTTCTTTCTCTCAATGCTTTTCAAAACAAATTGGAGAGGGCGACACAGGAACTCCTCAAATGTATTAAATTTATCTTCCCCAGATTGCCTTGCTCCCTGCTGCTTCTGGCCTTTTGTGTGGGAGTTAAAGTTGGTTTCTGAAGGTCTGTCATGTCTGATCTGAGCAGCTGGACTCTGATGTGAGGCCAGGATGAACCACGTGGCCCCTGACCTCTCCTCCTTTCTTTGGCGGTGGGCAGCAGACTAGCTCCAAGCCTCCCTAGAGCCCTGTACAATTCAATGTTCTTCTGCCCTGAGACCCTGCCTTGGTTCCAATGCTTGGTTTCAATGCTTCTCGCAGAGCCTAACCTCAGTCCCAGGGGCTGAATGTAAATTCCTGGGCAGAGTCATTTTTTATTCCATCCACCCACTACTGTGGCCAGTAGGTGACCTACTTGTGAGATAGACCAAAGCAGGAGACTCAAGAACAGGGACATTGCTTACATGGGGCAGGGATGGACATGGCTCAGTGGTCTCCCTGACCACTCCCTTCCCAGGGTGCCAAACAGAGCTGGATTTTCTGTCCAAACCGGGGCCCTGGAGCATGAGGCAGCCCAGGGCTCTGGAATGGGATCTCTGAACTTTCCATAAGGCTGAACCAAGTGTGCCTTGTCTCCATCTTGGCCTTTGCCAGGAAGATAAGGGGCAGCACAGGGGTAGGCATCATGTATTCCCATTAAGAGATTAAGGGTGGATTAAGAAACCGGCCCAGCATCCTCCCGTGCCAGCTGCCACCCGCCCTGGGGTGAGTGGAGCTACCCCTGCTGAAGCCTACTGGGGAATCTTCAGCCTAAAACGTCTCTGACCTTGGTGCCTGCAGCTGCCTTGGGCAGAGGGCACCTTGGGCAGATGGGTTCATCCAGCTCCTGAGGTGGGGTCACCGCAGCTGTTAGAGTTTCAGTTGTTCCTGAAATGAGGGTATTAGGGAAATTTGAGGAGCAGTGGAGGCACTCAGGGGAAGAGCAGGTTTGCACCTCTCTGTCACGCTGCCCCACACCCTGTCTGTTGTAGACACCATAGCTCTCACAAGCACAGAACAAACAGAAGCCATTACCCTCTTAGGAGGAAAAATAGGTGTATTGGGCAATAGTAATGAACATGGACAGGTAATAGAAAATAATTTTTTCTGTAAATGAATTTAAATTTTTCTTGGTGATGTCTTTTCCTACCGGGAAAGAATGGGGAGAAATTTTCTGGCTGAACACACAGAACACCTCCTAAAAGGAGGTGAGGCCTCGGGCAGTGGTGATGGTGACCTGAGGCCCTGGGCACTATTTGCCCACGCTGTGAGCACAGGTCCACAGGAGAGCACCAGGTGGGGATACTGACAGCTCTGTAGCCCACTGGTGAACTGTGCAGTGTTCAAGGACCCCTGGGCACTGGGGTGCCTTTCCTTGGGTGTGGCTGCACATCCCAGTGTTCTCCTGTGATCTGTCTAGAAGGATGGTGGCTGCAGGGAACCCCGGAGAACCAGGCTTGATCTTTGTTCTCTTTGTGCTGATTTAACTCCAAGGCAAGAAGTTCGCACTTAATTAACTTGTCATCTTACATCAGCCCAGCATCCTGCATGAGAATCTGAGTCCCCGCAACTGTGTGAGCCACACAGGAGCTGGTTTTGGCTGCTGTCTGGCTCCAGGCAGAGGAGGTGCAGTCTGGCCTTTCCTCTGGGGTTCTTCCTGCTCTTTGATGTTTTTCTCAGGAGAAATCCATAGTAGAAATGTCCTCATGCTACCTTTGAAGAATCCTCTCGAAAGAACTAGTTTCTTTCGTAAAAGGATCCAAAAGTGTTTCTCTCAAAGGTGTCTTCTATTCTCCAGTCCTGGGTGGGTATGGAGGTCGCAAGGTACTCACAGTTTTCTGCAATGGGTCCCTGTTGGCCTCACCCTTTTCAGCCAGGGCAGACACCTTGCTTTCTGTCTTCTGTGTTGATGGCGCGGGATCGTGAGCTTGTGCTGCCCCAGGCTCCTCTCTCTGTCTGCCTTTAGGTCAGCTATCAGCTGCAAAGATGCCTGGTCCCAGGAGACACACTGTGGAGCCGGCCCTGGGATGTCACAGAAGGCAAATCATCTGCAGCTTGGCATGCATCAGAGGACAAGTCTGGAAACTGCAGAGGCAGGGCACAGACCTGAGACTGGTTCACTGACTTCATCTCCACTCAGTGCTGAAGCACATTCCCGATGCCTGGCTGAAGCCATCACTCTCATGCCTCTGGGACCACACATGCTGTAAGCACCACCAGGACTTCTAGGGTGCCTCTTGCTGGTGCCCAGGATGCTTCTGCTCTCGTGGGTTGTGCCACTGAGACTGTGAGTCAGTTGCTGGGAAGGCTGCCTGCTGCCTTGTGCAGCTGGAGGGGCCATTAAGGATCCCTGGGCATCACAGAGTGGGGGAGGAGGGGATCCCTGTTAGGGCCCTCTCAGTCTCCCTCCACACAGTTGGAAGGACAAGGAGTCTGTCCAGTATAGGGACAGTATAGGACTTTGGATGGGCAAGCAGACTACAGAAGGACTGGGGTGGAGTCTCTTTCCCTGGAGGTGGTTGATGGCTCTTAGCAGCTTGAGGGGAGGCCCCACATGTGTGTTACCCAAACCCTTTTCCTGTGCACCTCCAGGGTCTTCAGAGTACGTGAGTTTAGAGAGGGAAGCCTCTGAGAGGGGCCCTTGCAGGCTTTCTGACTGCTGAAGATGACATCTCTGGTATGCATGTGGTGGGAAAGGCTGCAGGGACAGAAAGCCAGGACCGGCGCAGCCTCAAGGGGATCAGCCCCTGCCGGATCTGCCTGGACTTCACAGCCAAGTGCACTTCCAGCATGGCCACTAGCTGACTGTCATTTCCTGCATCCTGGTCTGTGGGATTCATCATGATTCTTTCTGACTGTGCAGAAATCTCCCGTGGAAAGGGTACAGAGGCCCTTTCTGAGAACATGGGCCGGTCTCTGGGGACCTTGCCAAGACTACGGCCCACATTCCTGTCCCAGGCCCTGCCTGCCCGGGCCTCTACCTCCTGCCCACCCTCGCTGCAGGCAGCAGTGCTCATGGAGCAGCACTCGGAGGGGCTGCATTTTTCCTTCGCCTGGCATGTGAGAGCTACATGACACTGAAGTTGGGTGAGCTCTAGAGGTTCTGGGATCCTGCGGGCCTGGTGCCCATGGTGTTGATTGAGCACCTTTTGAATGTGTTGCTCCAGTAGTTTCCAGTGCTCCGGGCTGAGTGAGAAAGCCATAGGAGGGATGGCAGTGGCCCAGTGGTTTGGGGAAAGACTGGGCATCCTGCAGTCCTCCTGCCAGCCCTGGACCGTGGATAGTGAAGGCCGTTTATGCTGGGTCTGTGTCTTTAATGTGGGCCCACCTGGGTGTTGTATTTCAATAGGGATCAGGTGCTTTGGATTATTATGGGGTGTAGACCAAACTGCTCCAAAGTCCCTCACGTGGGCTACGCAGTGTGGTAGGACAGATTGGGGGAAAGGCTGGAGATGGGCCTGAGTCAGGACCTGACCTGGAGGAGGGGGCTGGAATCCAGCTGTGGACAGAATCATGGGTGGGGCTTGGGGGTCCAGATAGGACAGGGCCTGTGGGGGAATTTTATCCTGCCCTTGAGCTGGAGGAAGAGTTGAGATTTTGTTGAATAAGAATGGAGGAGGCTGTAGAGGAGATGGATTCTGCGCGATCCAGGCATCAGCCACCAAAGATTCGCTGTGCAGAGAGGGCAGACCCCAGAACAGCTGGTTCCATTTCTGCTCAAAGTGGATCCCCGCAGTCTTAGAATGTGAGAGCCGATGAGGACCGAGCTGCTGATCTGGCTTCTCTGTAGTGTCCCACCAGGGTTGTGGGGTTGTGGCAGGATTGGGGGGACATGGCGGGGAGAAGGTGTGTGGAAGTGGGCAGGGTGAAATTCTTTCCAGGGGAGGCAGGGATTCTGGCAGCTGAGAGGCTGTAAATGATGTAGTTGAATCCCCAAAATCCGAGGAGGTTGTGGACCAGCCTGATGATGCAGAGGAGGCCAGAGGTGGAAGGTGCTGAGTGAGAGGAGGGGAGTCAGCCTCTGCTGAGGACAGAGTGGCAGAGTCCTCGTGCTCCCTGTATGGCTGTGGGGCTGTGGCAGGTTTTTTCTTGCACACAGGAGGATGACATTGTGGATGTGAGGGCTGCTGAGGGCTTCCTTGGTCAGGAAGCAGCTTCTTGAAGCTGTAATAAATAGGAGGCTTGTCTGCACCCATGGATGGGGACCATCTCAGGTGGACCACAGCCCCTCCACGGCCCCATCCTCACGGCCTCCTGTTATCCCTCACCCCAGGGCCTTAACATCCCCCACTCCCAGCATCCCTACCTCCCAGGTGCTTCTTGATGACACCACAGGCCTTTGTAGGACGGAAGAAAGGGAAAATTTTTTACCTTTTCAGAAGTGATACTACGGTCTTATCCAACTTCTGATAAAGCTGGCAATCTGTGAAAGGTGGAAAGTAGGACCCTGGGTTATAGAGGGTGAAGGGTAAGGAGGGGATTGAGATTTTTATAGGAGGCTGAAGGTAATGTGTCCTTAGAGGACACCATAGGAGACTCCAGAGCCCAGGCATCACTGCCCAGTGTCCTCTGGCCCTGGCTGACCATGGTCACTTGGTACACGGACAGGCAGCACTTAGTCACTACAAAGTGCTTCCACATCCTTCCCCATCCATGGTCCTCACAAGTGTGTTGTGCTGGGCAAATGAGGTCATCTCATCAGGAATCAGCCTCAGCCAGCTGTCACAGCTGGGCCTCAGTTTGACCAGGATGTCTAACTCCTAGTCCAAGCTGCTTGGCTCCACTGCTGCCTGCAGTGACCTCTAGTGGGCATCTCCTTCCTGTGACCCAGTGTTTTGGGGTTCAGGAGCAGAGCAGATGGAAGACAAGGCACCAGAAGAACTTTGGAAGGCGTACACCTTCATTACACTAGTGGGGTAAAGGGAATCTCAGTACCAAATCATCAGTAGTGAGTCGGTGTTGAGTTTTATTTGCACAGTTCTGCAAGCTGAAAGTACAAAACTGGCGTTGATACCCTGTAACGGGGCGTTAGGATTGTGGTGAGCAGAAAGAACTGATCATTTTCTTTACCTGGGCCAGTCTGCCCTGGAGGACTTGGAAGCAAGTTTGTGTAGTCAGATATACTGTCCCGCTGAGTTACACTGATGGTCAAAGTTGCCCCTGGCATGGGGGCTGTCAAGGCTTCACTGAGCTCTGTGGCTTTTTAGTTATGGGAGCAGGCTGTGCTTCCCAGTCCCATCCTTGAGTGGTTTTAACCATAAAATTTTTAAAAGTTCCTTTACATTCCAAATTGCCTTTGTACCTGCACAGGTTCTTTCTGAGCAGGGACCCTTAGAAGCATCCCCCTGCTGACCGCCTTCCCAGGAGCCCCCTCTCAGGGCTCAGCAGCTGAATCCTGAGAGCCCGGGCCTTGGTCCCTGGGGACAGCAGTCATGTTGGCTCTGGGGCCGCAGGACCGGAAGGCAGAGCCTCACCTGTGAGCGCGCCAGTCCTCTTCCTGCTCCTGTTCTTCAACCTCATCCGCACTGGATGCTGAGAAAGAGGGAAAGTTGTGAGGGGCCCAGGCCTGGTTCTCCTCTCTCAGAGAGGCTGTGGACCCTCATATTTATGAACACTGGGAAGCTGACATGGAATTAATAGGGCCTGTGTTTTTTTCACTTGCTCATTTTTAAAACGTATTTAAAGATTGTTTTTGTCGTCCTTCTCCCAGAAACACACACACGACTTTGTGCGTGAGATTCAGCTTGGTACCTTCACTCCCCTCCTGGACTCATTTCTAAAGCAGCGTCTCTGCTGTCAGCTGGGATTCTGAGTGCACAGGCTGCTCCAGCCTGTGACAGGAGGCCTGAGCTCAGAGCCCTCAGTTCTGCCCAGCACAGGGCAGAGACTGGATCCTGACACTCAGGACCTTTCCCTCCCCAAGGCCCCATCTCTCAGGAATCCTGGCATCCTCCACTGAGTCAGGGTATTCTCTTTTACTCTGGCCAGCAAACCACACATGTGGTCTTAGAGCATCAGATAGATGCTCTGCTGCTTCTGCCCTGGCCCAGCTGTCCCTGATGAAGGTTGCGTTACTCTTTCCTGAGATTTTCTCTTCTGCATTCTCATTCTTCTACATTGGAAAGTTAACCCTGGTAGAAGGAGAGCGGATCGTTCTCTGCTTGCTGGGTCTGAGCTGTGGGTTTCTCACCTTTCTGATGGTTCTAGTTCTCCTGGATGGTGGCAAGGATGGTTCAGCCGGGAGCCAGGGCAGTAACAGGAGGTACAGCCCCAGTCCACACACAAAGGCGAGGACCATGTCCATGGCAAAGGTGGTGGAGCTGGGGCTCAGCCACATGGTGTTAAGGCTTTTCAGAGGAGTGAGAAGATTCTCCATCATCTGAATTGCAGTGTTGTTCTCAGGCAACTGAGCCCTGAGAGTTCTGTCTGGAAGCAGGGAGGGGTCCCAGGCCTGCATCACAGAGCTGTGGCCTCCTCATCACAAAGGGCTCCTGGGCTGGAGGAGGGGCGGGGATAAGGGACTCAGCCACAGCCCTCCCCTCCCCCACTCTCCAGCACAGGCAGTGCTGTCCTGGCCTGGGACCTGCACACATCTGAAGCCCAGGATCTCATTATCCTCAGCTCCTGCTTCCCATTTAATGTCTTTGTCACGTCATAGCAGTGAGAAAACCGAAATATCTCACATACTTATTTTTGTGAATTCTGAGTACTTAGCAGAACTTAAGGAGAGACTTAGCCTTTCTCTCTCTTTCTCTGTAAAATTCCAGCTGCAGGCAAGCCAGTCCCCAGAGCACTGTGGTCCTGGGCTTTCCTCCCTGGTAAGGGAGACTGGTCAAGTGTTCTCCCATAGGAATCTCCTCCTTCAGAAGGACAAGGCTGTGGACATCACCAGTGGAGCTGACAAGGGGCTGTAAACCAGCCTCACAGCATGCTCAGGTCCCAGAGAAGCACAGGAGTGTTTTTTCCTTGAGGCTAAGATAGGGTTAGCTGCTGGGATCACTTACTTCCTTTGTTTCATTGCTGTCTCTTTTTACCTGCTTGACACTACAGATTATATAAAAGTCACCTTTCCTTGCTTCCCGGCTCAGCCTGATTTTGCACATTTCCAGTGGCTGGGATGGTGCACCATTAAAGAGTCCTCCGGAGACTCCCTCCTTAGTCTCTCCAGTTTCTTGGATATTCTACAACGTACTGTTTTAAACTTTTGTTCCCTTTCCAAAGGGCCCTTAACAGATAAAATTCATCATTGAAAATGCAGAAGTATGAAATTCTTATCAGAACCTCAACTCCCAGGGATATTTTTCTCTGTGTCTAGCATGTATAATTGTGTACTTAATAAAGCTTAAACTGTTCAAAGACTTGGTACTACTACACACATACGGAGGGACACATACACACATCACAATCTTCCACACACCAGTGTTTTCAAATCCAGTAGTATATCTTTTGCTCATTTGTCATCCAGGAAATGACCATAAAAGCTATAGTAAATAGCTTTCATCCCAGTTATGATGGCTATCATAAAAAGAAAGTAACAATACTTTTCAGGGAGATCGAGGAAAGAAAATGCTTATATACTGTTCTGAGGATGTGAACTAGCACAACCCTTATGAAGCGTGTTATGTAAAATTTCCAAAGATGAAAAATAGATCTACCTTATGGTCCAACTATGCATACCACTCCTGGGTACCCATCATTCAAAGGAATATTTGCTTGCCCATGTTTATTGTGCAATTTGATGGTATATCTTACATCAAATGAGCTGCCCATTCATGGTTGAATGAAGAAAATATGCATAACAGAATCCTGTTCAGCCATATGAATAGAATGAGACCCTGCATTGACCATAGGGATGTAACCGGTGGTCATTATGTTAAGTCACACATGCCAGGTGCAGAGTACCAAGAACTGCATGTTCTCTGCCACATGTGAAAGTTAAAAAAGGAAAATAGCCTGGACGTAGGATCCTGATTGCTAGAGACTGAGAGGTGGGGAGGGTGGATTGAAACGGGATGAGACTGGATCAGTTCGTGCTGTATGCATATAATGAACCACATTAATATTTCAGTTAATCCATCATAATTAACAAAATAATCATGCTTATAGTCTCTTTGATTCTTCCCTTAGTGATGGTGGCCTCATAAAATAAGTTTGAAAGTCTTCTTCTTCCATTGCAGAAAAGTACATGAAAAATATTACTTCTCTTTGAAAGAAGTTTGGCAGAATCCCCCATAATTGCCGTCTGCTCTTGGACAAAATCTTTGTTGGGAAGCAAATTTGATTTCTGATTCAATCTTGTGACTGACTGTTTATCTGTTCAGATTTTTACTGTATGTCTCAGACCTGGACAGTGTGTATTTCTAGAAATTTTACCAGTTCTAGGCTATCCAATTTTTCAGAATACAATTATATATATATATATTGTATTGATTCTTGTATGTCTATGGTGTCAGTTATTATAACTCTGTCATTTCTCATTCCATGTAGCTGAGTGCTGAAAGTGAAATTAAAATTTTAAATAAAGCATGCCAAGAATGCTCTCCAAAACCAGGCAGAGGTATCTGTGCAGTCATGATTAACAAAACACTTGCTCATTGTATCAGCCCTGTCTTTATTTATTGCCTTTCTGTAACTAATGCCCTTGTAATGGAACTTAAAATATAACAGGACATTTCTTCCTTTGTATAACCCATGCTTTACATAACTGGTAACCCTGCAATGTAACCTAAAATATGTAAACTCCCTTAGCAGCCCAAGATGTCACCCAACTCTCCAATCATATTGCGCCAAAACTTACATTTGTACTTCTCGGACTGCTGTCCCCATAAAATCCCTAGAACCCCACCTGGTGGCGCTGACTTTTTGGGAGAGATCCCAGTCAAGCCTACCATGTCATAAACTGCCTCCTAAACTTCCTTGGTGTCATTTCTTGCCGTGTTTAGTCCTTAATGCTGTAACAATATCATTTCTAGTTGGTGAACTTCTTTTAGTATTTCTTGTAAGGCATGTGTAACATTCATACACACCTCTCAGATTTGTGTGTGTGTGTGTGTGGCAGGGAATGTGTGAGAATTTCCTGAAGTCCTATTCAAAGCAATTAAGAAAGATAAAAAAGGAAAGCCATCTAAATTTGAAAAAAAAACAGTAAATAGTCTATTTGAGGGTATTCTCATACATTTAAAGAAAAGTAATAAATTCAGTGAATTGGCATAGTATATAATTAGCTTAAAGATATTAACATATATTGTTGTAAAATAACAATGAGCTACTGAGAAAAGATATCAGTAATTCCATTTACAATGATATCAGCAAATAGAATTTGCAGAAATAAATTTTTCAAGTCTGTAAAATAATTATGCACAGAATGAGATGGTGGTAAAAGTAACTGAAAAAGACACAAGGGGCTGGGGATTTAGCTCAGCGGCATAAGCGCCTGCCTTGCAAGCAGGCAGTCGTGAGTTCGATCCCTGGTACCAATAAAAACGAAAAAGACAAAAAAAAAAAAAAGACACAAGTGCATGTGTTATTACATAGATTAATATTGATAAATTATCCATACTGTATGCAAAGTGACCTATACATTCTATGAAGTCCCTACAAAATTTGAATTACATTTTCCACAGAAAGAAAAAAATGTAAAATTCCCATGTGACTATAAAAGATTTTATATAACCAAGGAAATTTTGAGAACAAATCTAGATGCTCGTAGTATCTGATTTAAAATTGTATTACAGAGCTATAGTAGTAAAAACAGTATGGTAGTAGCCTAAAAATAGACACATTGAGCAATGGGACAGAATATAGTACCAACAAATTCAGATATGTGCAGTGAAGTCATCATTGACAAGGATGCCAAGAACTCGGAAAAATAATCTGTTCCAAATGCTGGGAAGCCGGATATCCACACACAAAATAGTAAGACTGGACCCATACCTTACAGCATCAAAAAAATCATCCCCAGTTTATTAAAGACCTAAGTATTCACCTGAAACTATAAAATTTCTAGACAAAAGCACAGCAGGAAAGATACTGGACATTAGTGTTGCAATGATTTTTTTCGTATTTGACACCAACTATGTACACAATCTCAGCAATCCTAGCAAAGATTAATAAGTGGCATCATCTCAAACTAAAAGTTTCTGCAAATCAAGAGAATCATATATCTAAGCAGACAGAATGTGAGAAAGTGTTTGCTAACTCTGTGTTCATTAAAGGATAAATACCCAAAATATATTAGGAACTTAAACAGTGCCAAAGGTGCTAACTAGACTTTTCTAAAAATATACAGACATGAACAACAGGTACATAGAGAAAAGTGTTTAACATCATCAATCACCAGGAAAATGCAAACCAAAATCATGATGAGATATTATCTTACACTGGTAGGGTGAGTATCATTGAAAATCAAAAGAGAGGAAACGCTAGCAAAGATGGTAATGGTGATTATATAATTACTTATGCTAATCGCCCCAATGTTTTCTGTGTGTCAATACCATGATCATCTCAACTCACCATCCTCTCTGGTCAGCTCTGTTTTGGTTTTGTCCAGTGTAATAGTCAAAGTGTTCTTTGCTTAGACATTACTTCTGAGTTGTTTGTGATGCTATTTTCATGTAGTTTGCATAATAAATGCCCCCCAAATCAATCTTTCCACAAGTCTGACACAATGTTTCTAGGTTTATTTGCCTGTTGACTGGAGTATATTCTTTAGGAATATTTTCAAAGGAATTGAGATGACCTAAAACTTTTGAAGCCTGCATTCTGAAAACAACTTTTTGTGTCCTCATTTTAAAAGAATTTGAATATTCATAATTTTAAAGCTAACTTTTTTCTTTTATGCTATGAAAATAATACTCTATTGAGCTCTTGTCTCTCAAGATTGTTGTTGGAAGCCTGATGTCTGTTGAAATCAGTGTTTGCTTGAAAGAGGATCTTCCAAAAAAAGAAAGAAAGAAAGAAGATCTGGCTGGGTGACTGCCATTTGCTTCACCCTGTTTGTTCTTCTCTGCCATCCTCCCAGCTCTGCAGTATCCAGAAAGCAGAGTCCAAAGCCAATCTCATCTATGTAAAAGACCCTCTTAGAACCTGGAAAGTAACCTCTCCTTGTGCTTAATCTACCATCTCCTAGAACATTTTTAAATCACTTCCAATCATTTGCAGAACTGAGTGATCTGTAAGTGGCTGGATTTCTTGCTTTTTAAAAAATTATTTTATTTTAAAGATAATAAAACCAAGCAAAATAAAACAGAATAAACCCAACTGAAACAAACCAGTGTAAGCCACAGAGAACTTCAAAACAATACAAAATCAACAATGGTTACCATAATGCCTCTTGTTGTCCTCAAAATAGCTTCAGATACCTTCAGAAATAGTAAAAATAAAACAAAACAAAACAGTAGAACCAATAAAACCAAAATAATGAATGCAATAGAGGACTTCAAAACAAGACAATAGTAAACCCAAAATGGCTACCATAATATATCTCACTATCTTTGAAATAGCTGTCCATGCCATTGGATATAACAAAATCAAACAAAACAGAACAAAATAAAACTCAACCCAACAAAACAATGAATATTATTCAGGACTTCAAAACAAGATAATAAGGAATTAACAATGGCTACCACCTTCACAGGAAATCCCCAATAGATGCCACACTGTGTACTGTTATCTTCTAAATAGATGGTCAGACCACCAGCCCTAGACTTGTACAGTCAGTGAAACACCAAACACCACAAGCAATAAATTGTATTTCACCTGAAAAGCTATCATTGCAGCCCATGTTTCTCCAGATCAGCCAGTTGCTTGGGCAGGTATTGGCTCTTCTTGTTTACCAGCCCATGGGCTGGAAGGGGCTGGGGTCTGCCTTTCCCCCCACTGGTGGCAGCCCACACATGGCACTAGCTTGCAGGGAGGGTTTGCTTCTTGGTGGGTTCTTACTCTCTTCTGTAAGTGGCTGAATTTCCTCCCAAGACAGGAAGTCAGGATGCCTGGAGCATTTTAAGAGGTAAATAGTTTTGATAATTGTGTTCTTGCTCTGTCTTAGATAATATAAGCTGTTTACATGGGATAAAGGAAGACTGGGGTTGGCATAAATGACTAAAGTTAATCTGTCGCCCCATAGTTTCACTGTGTGATTATCTGCATAACAAAGTCTCATTCTTATCACAAAGCTGTCCCATCACTTCCCTGCATTTAGGGACCTTGGACGCTCTGACCACCACAGTTGTAGGTCATCAGTGGTTTTGAAAGGCATCTGTATTGATTTTGACAGCACTGAAGAGAGGCAGTTTTGGGGGTAGAGCAAGGTATCCCCAGAATGAGGCCCTTCCACTTGCCCTTCCCTATGGTCTGAAAGGAAAAGCAAGGTCATTTCCCTGAATGTTCACATTTCTAAAACAGAACTCTCTGACTTTTGCAAAGAAGATTCTGGACTATAGACTTCACCTGAAAGGATGCAGAACAAGGATGCAATTGCAAGCATTTTGGAGCAACTTCTACATGCTGTGGCAATAAAAGACATATCCCCTTGTGGAAGTGCTTATAATTGCATGCTTTGTGAGGCTACCTGCCTGTCACCAGTTTTGTGCTGCAACAAACAGTACATTTTACTGTCATCTTGAAGCCTTCTCAGGCAGGCATTTTAGTGGGTGCTGGAATCATCCTGGAGACACAGCCTTATCCTTGTCTCTCAGTGAAGGAAACTGGAATTTAGGCCAAGTGCTCAGAAACACTCTTCTCTTTCTCTCTGCTTTGCCCAAATTTTACGGAAGCATCTGTCCTTTCCCTTGTCCCCTCAGCTCAGTGCCATCATTTCCACAGCCTCCATGGGACCACTCACCTCAGCATCCTGCAGGGTATCGACTAGCTGTTGACTAACTCAAGGGGGTGGGGTTCCTGAAATTTCTGATTTTTTAAAATTTCATTTAAAGGAAAAAAACACAAAACAGTATAAGGGTACAAGTAATACAGAATTTCAAAAAAAAATGTAAGAAATCACTAGTTAATAGATTACATATTGTCATCTTAGAAACAGTTGTTCAAGTTACAGGATTAAAGCATACAAAGTGGTCATTCAAACAGTGAGATTGCAAAAAGTTGTATTCAATGAGCCAACAAAAACTTAGTAATATAGTCATCTATCTTATACACCTAAACACACTTGCAGTTGTATCCTTTAGAGCACTTTCTTTTCCTCTCTTTTTTACAATAACATTTACACATTTTGGGTTTTATTACTCCCATAGTTCTTATTACTTTTTTTTAGAAGAGAATAAAACCAAATATGACAAAACAAAGCAGTCAGTCAAAACAAAGGATGGACATAGTACATGATGTAAAAACAAGGTAATCAACAATGGTTACCATAATGCCTCTTGCTACCTTAAAAAGAATTGCCTATATCATTAGGTATGATAAAATTGAACAAAGCAGTACAGAACAATACCAGGGGCTGGGGATTTAGCTCAGCGGCATAAGTGCCTGCCTTGCAAGCAGGCAGTCGTGTGTTCGATCCCTGGTACCAATAAAAAACGAAAAAGACCAAAAAAAAAAAAAAAAAGACCAATAAAACCCAAACATTGGAGACATTACAGGACTTCAAAAGAAGATAATAGTCAAACCAGAATGGGCATCATAGTGAATCTTATTGCATTCAAAGTAGTTGCCTATACTCTCAAACTTGATACTATCAAACAGAACAGAACAAAGTCAGTCAAAACAAGATGGTGGGAGCAATACAGGGCTTCAAATAAATTTCTGATTTTTAATGAAGGCTTCTTACATTCTTCTACCATCTTGAGTTTTCTTATTGTTTTAAGTGATGCATAATACATTCTTATGGGTCTTTCAACATTATTGTATTCACATGATTTCCTAACATTCTTAAAAGTATTGGTTAATTATTTGCATATAACTGAGAGATCATATCTCTACGAGTTCAACATAATAGAACCTTATTCCCACTTTTAAAAAATCAAGTGATAAAGAATTGGAAGTGAAGAATCCTCTTCCAGTTATTCTCTTTTTTTTTTTCATCTGTATTCTACCATGTTCAATGTTCAGTGCCTAAATTGACAATCATCTCCCACAGATCAATAAGTTTAAATACAATATGGCAAGAGGTTTACAAACAAATTCCATGGGCAAACTCACCTGAATGAACAAGAGACTGGGAAACTTTGTCAAGCCTTTCCTTGTGCTATGAGTTTCCCCACTGTTATATAAGCTGAGTTCCTTCAAGGTTTCTCACATTTATTATGTATTAGGGTTTTCTCTCTGGCGTGCATTCTGCTGAAATGTACTTGAGCCCTTTTGGTCAAAAGTTTTCTCACACTTACGTCATAGGGCTTCTCCTCTGTGTGGGTTGGCATATGGGCTCTGAGATGTCTTGGGGAATGTTTTCCCACATTTATTGCATCTATAGGGTTTTTCCCTCGTGTGAATTGTTATGTTCCCTGAGAGATGAGTCAACAATAAACATTTTCCCACATTCATTACATTCATATGGTTTCCCTCTAGGTGAATTCTCTGATGTGCACAGAGGTGAGTTCTTTGTTTTCCCACATTCATTACATTCATAGGATTTCTCCCGTGTGAGTTCTTTGATGTCCTGTGAGAGCAGTCTTATAAACAAAGATTTCCCCACCTACATTACATTGTACTTTTCCCATAAGTGAATTCTTTGATTTACCATGAGGATTGCCTTATTAGCACAAATGTTCCCACATTTATAACACTCACAGGATCTCTCTCCTCTGTGTGCAGTCTCCAGTGAACTGTGAGAGCTGGGCAGTTATGTGTAAACAGCTGTAGAGATATACACAGCTTTTGTGTCATCCAAAGTTTTCAAACAAATTGGGTGAATATCAAAGTGCACAATTGCTGGATTTTACAGAGAAGTGATGTTTAATTATATTTAAAAGTAATTGCTGAGCTGTCCACCAAAGTTACAGTATTTTGCATTCTCACCAACAGCGAGCAAGCGACTTTTTGCCAGCACTTGGGGTTGGCACTGTTTCACATTTTGATCAATATAAAATTCTCATAATTTGCGGTTTCATGATAGCATATGATTCCAGGTTTTTCGTACTCTATTTAACATAGGAATAGCTTCATCTGCAGAACTATATTTAGCTCTTTTCATTTTTATTGGTCATCTTCCTATTGTTGAATTTTAATTGTTCTTCATTTTTAGGATAAAATTCCTCTCAGATGTATCTTTTGCAAGTGTTTGATATCTGTGCTTGTCTTTTCATTTTCTTGACTATCGTGCACACATTTTTAACCTCATACAATCAAATGGATCAGTTTGTTCTTTGTGTAATTCTCAGGGGGATTATCAAAAAGTGCCTATCTGCACTCCCTTCCTTCCTCCTCTTTTCCTTCTCCTCCACCAAACAAAACAAAGCAAAGCAAAGCAAAACGTAACACCGGAAAAAAAAAAAAAAAAAAAAAAAAAGGACATAGATTCTATGGCTTGCAATACCTATACAAGAACTTAAAAACAAAAAGGGAGTATGAACTTAGTCATGGAGTAATTAGGACACCTTTGGGTTTTCCCTAGTTTTCCACTGTCAGGGTGTCAAATCAGGACTTCCAAGAAGCAGAACTCCAGGTCTCTGTCAGGTTAGGAGGGATACCCCCACCGAACCCCTCGGAACCCACTCTCCTGGTCAGGAAGCTCAGCGGGCCAAACAAACCCATCATCCCTCTGAGCAGGCTGCTGGCGCGAGGCCTTCTGGGAAATGTAGTCTCCCTCAAAGGACGACACAGCCCGGGGCCTAGAGAGAGCTTCTCAGGTATTCCCTCTGCGCATGCGCTGCCGTACCTTTCAAGCTTGCAGAATTCCTGTTTCTCTCTCCAGTCTCTGGAGTTGGGCTTCTTGGCTCTGAAGGTTGGTGCAAGGGTTAAAGGGAGTGAGCGGGCCTGGGGGAACCCAGGGGAGCCAGACAGGCACCCATCTGTGAGAGGGAAGCAGAAATGGGGTCGTTCGGGGCAGCGGAACCCACCGTGCAGGTGCGGGCCAGGGTGCTGAGCGAGGTCTGGAGGTAACAGGATCGGAGGGTCCCCAGGTCCTGTGCGGGGGGAAAAGGCCTTCTCCGCCGTGCTTTCGGGGGTTGCTTTGTCAGAAGACACGCCCGCAGGCGCACTGAAGCTGGAGGGGTTGGGGACGGTTTGCGGACTGCGCGAGCCCGGCAGTGGGTTCCAATCCGGCTCTGATGCCGCAGGACCCCAGGACTCCTTTTGGGACATCCTCGTCCCCCTCTGTAGAGCGAGTGTGCCAACCCTATCAGCGAAACGGCGCCTCCCTCAATTCCCAGAAATTCCTGGTCAGAGGCCGGTGGAGCCAGTCTTGCTGTGTAGCTGTAGCATTCAGTCTCTCTGTCTGTCTGTTCTTCCTTCCTTTGCTTTAGTGAAGCTTCTGGCCCTCTCCTGCATTCTGTGAGCGTTAGGTTGGCTAGAATTCCTGATTTGAATTTGCAGAAGTTGATACAAGACCCAGTATCCAGAGACAGTGAGCTCGATAAGGGAGATCCAGTAGAGGATGACGGTCCCATTTTCTTAGAAGTAGAGGAGATGGTACCGAGTTTGAAGAAGAGCGCGCCGCACGGATGGGAATTCCACCTGAAAGAAGCTTCCACCAGCTTACTAGCGCTGTAGAGCAGAGGCTCGTGTCCCAGAAAGAGGAAGCCCCAAACTTGCACAGGCCAGTCAATTATTCACTCTACCGTGTACCGTACACACGTTTGGTTGATACTAGGTCCTCCAGTAACTACCCTGGTCTGTGTGGTACCATGGTTTTTCCTTAAACTCCTTTCTGCTATTCTTCTGCAGTCCTTACAGACCAGCAATGATAAATCCTTTAAGAGACCAAGTCCTCAAACAACTCATAACCCAGCTACTTAATGCAAAGTGCCAACACTGCAGTTAAACCTGAAGACTGAGGTTTTAATTTTAAAAAACTCATACAACTCATGACATCATCGCAGAGAGGGCTGTGTGTGCCTTTATCGCACATGTGCCATACTGTCACAGGATGTCATTACTCACATCTTATGACTAGGGAGGTGACGGTGTTCAGTGTGGTGTACACAAGCAGTCCTTTTGGCATACAGGAAGGATATTCTGGGATACATATATGTGCTGTTAATGTATAATTGATTAAAAACAGTACATAAAATATTTTTGCTTTTGGAATTAGGTCAGGTTTTAAATGCAGAAATCACTTAATAGAGGATTCCTTTAAGAGTTCATTTGTCTCTCTTCCTGCCAAAAGATCCTCTCTCTAGAGCTGGTTGGTAATGTGATTTGTTTGGTTTGTGTCTTTGTGAAGTTTTGGTAATGTGGTTTGTTGCTTTGTGTCCTCTGTTGCCTCATACTCATGGTGATATTCTGTTCCTATGGCAAAGCTAAACATTTGGCCTGGCAGTGAAATGCAACTTCGTATTACAAAATAGAACTTTCTTTGTCATCACAGTGTGTACTGAACTTGTGTCTGTTCTTTTTTTTTTTTTAAAGAAAGACAAAACAAAACAGAAAATGGGCAAAAATAGTACATACTTTCAAAGAAAAAATAAACTAATAAATCACTAGTTAATGTTTACATATTGTCCCCCCACAAATAATTGTTCAAGATACAAAAATGGAGCATATAATGGGACTTCATCCAGGGAGACTGTAAAGAGTTCTGTTCAACTATCCAACAAAAACTAAGTAATATGGCTATCAATCCTATACACTTAGACATGTACACATTTATCCCTACCTTCATTTATGTTGAGACCAAACAAAACATAGCAGATTAAAATCATTCTGAACAAAGCTTAATAGTATTGCTGGATTTCACATCATGACACTCCAGAATCAGCACTGGGTACTGCAGTGCCCCTTTTTTTCCTTCAAAGTATTTGTTCATTTCATCATGTGTCGTAAGATCAGTTCTCATAAACTGTTTATAGGTTTTATGCAAGCATTAGTCTTAACATGTATTTCTATCCTTTCTATATTAGAGGGGGAAACAGAACAGAACAGGACAGAACAAAACGTATTCCTATAGACACTTAAAACTAAAAAGACATGTAAAACTTCTGTACAAGGAATTCTATCATGGTTACTGTGCTATCTCTTGTTATCATCAACAGAATTGGCTATATTATCAGATAAAGTATCATTGAATTTATCAGTTCATTACAGAATTAATAGAAATACAACTTTGTAGATAGTGTAGAGCTAGAAAAACAGGTAGTAGTCAAATCAGAATGGATATCGTAGTGAATCATTGTTATTTTCAGTTTGGTTGTCTACACTCTCCAACTTGATACCATCAACCAATCAGTTTTGAGTAAAATCTGTCAATAATAAGCAGCAACCAAACAAATCAGATTTAACTAAGATCAGTCAAGATACAACAGTGTAAGTCATAAGGGATCCAGTTTAAGTTAATAGGAAATTAAAGATGACCACGTGCTATATCCTGATATCTTCAGGACAGCTGTCTGTGCCCTCAGATCCAGTGCTTATATACAAACTGGGACGGAACAAGTTCCATCCAAGCAGAGTGGTGCGAGTAATATGGGTTTTAATTCCTGATACACTATTAGCAATATCTTCTGCTGTCTTTTTTTTTTAAAGACTATTCTTCCCCTTTCACTCTGCCAGGATGTACTTGTATTTTTGGGTCTCCCCAACACTCTCAGTTTTATATTAGGGGGGCAACCTGCTGTTTACCTAAGTGCTTCCAAACTTTCTCACTCCTGGGCTTGATCTCTAGTTCTTATTAAAGCCAGTCTTTTCAATCTATCCATAAATTCTGGTCTATTTTTCCCCTATTACTCTCTGGTTCCCTGTCATATTGAGTTCTGTTTTCTCATATTTGATTTTGGTCCATATGCTCTTCTTCAAGTTAATTATATTCCTTATAAAGAGTGTCTCAGTGGACCTTACCTCTTGATCCACTCTGCCTGTGATTCTATCTTTTTTCCCGTAAGTTAGTGTATCTTAGCCATCTGTATTAGAAATTATATACAACCTTCTCTGCCTCATTTCTGTTGTGCTCTTTTTCCGTCATTAGTTGTCTTCTTCATTTCACTTTTTGTTCCATTCATTGGGGCCTCTCTGCCACTGTTCCCGAAATCTTGGTGCTTTTCTCTCTCTTTAGAATGTATAGTATTCTCTGTAGAGTTGGATTGGTGGTTGTGAATCTCCAGTTCCTCTTTATCTTAGCAGCATCTTGTTTCTCCATTAATTTCTAGGGACAATTGTGCAGGATAGATCAACCTTGGCTGGAGGTTATTTTCTTTCAAGGCTTGGATTATTTTGCTCCACGCTCTTCTCAATTTGATGGTTTGTGCCGAGAAGTCTGATGTAATTCTGATGGGCTTTCCCTTGTAAGTGATCTGTTTCTTGTCTCTGACAGCTTTTAATATTCTGTTCTTATATTGGATTTCTGGAATCTTGATTATTATATGCCTGGGTGTAGTTCTGTTTTGGTTGTAGGTGGCTGGAGTTCTGTATGCCTCATACATCTGAGTATCATTTCCTTTTCCTATGTTTGGGAAGTTTTCCTTAATTATTTCTGTGAATAACCTTTGTAATTCCTTTGTTTGTACCCCTGTTTCTTCATTCACACTCTTTATTCTTAAGTTCTAGATCCTCTTGTCGTCTTGTATCCTTTGTATTGTTACTGCTTGTTTCTTTGTTATTTTTAAGAAAATTTTCCTTTCATGTTCCCACATTGCAAACCTGTCCTCCAGTTCAGATAGTCTGTCCTTAGTTTCTTTCAAGCAGTTTTGCCAGCTTTCGATAGAGTTTTTAATTTCCTGGTAATCTCTTTGAACCTGCTTCATGTATTCTATATTTTTTCTATTTTCTCCATCAAACAATTCTCCCCTTTTTTTGTTCTTCCATTTGTTTTTTCTTGGGAAGTGCTTAGCATTTCTTTAACTGTTCTACTTATATCTTGCTTTAGTTGGTAAATACTTCACTTTTGAACTCATCTATGAGGTCCCAAAGATATCGTTTTATGTCTGTTGGTTCTATGTCTGATATTGCATGTTTTCTGTCCTCATTCTCCTTTGCATTTACCTTTCCTGGATCAGTGTTCTCAGAATTGGGGACGGAGGACCCTTTCTTGTTGCTCCCTTTTCCCATACTTTTTGTTCCTTCCATACAGGCATATTTAGGAGGCCCAGTTTCTTTCTTTGTTGGTTACAGTTTGTTTGAATCGCACTGGCTAGGTGTTCCCACCCACTGCAGTGTACTAGAGAGACACAGACCAGGGCAGCCTGTGATGGGCTCACCCCTCCAGGTCAGTCAACCTGCTGAAGGCTTCACTGCCTCAGGGTACACTGCCAGGCATAGGGACTTGATTTGGGCTAGCCTATTGGGTCTTAGTCCAGGTGTTACCCAGGTCAAGTGCACCCATCGATCCCACTTGAGAAGGGAGAAGCCCGCTGAAGTTCCTTGTTCTAGCTTATCTGCCTGGTCCCAGAATGTCGTGTGTTGGAGCTCCCTCTTCTCTGTGGAAGAGATTTTATTCTGCTCACTCACCACAGGTCGATGCAGGGTTCTCCACCAGCTTTGCTCTCATTTTGGTTCACCAACTCCCGCCCTCGGTGCGAACGCCTCTCCAGTGAGTTGAAGTTGGCGGGCTATCCCGGCTGCGCCACTTCAAGCACAGCAGCAGCAGCGAGACCAAGCAGGGAGTTCAAGCGGCAGCACTGAGACTGTAGCTGTTCCAATCTTATCATCAGGACTCTATTTTTTTTTTTTTTTTTTTTTTTTTTTTTTCGGTACTGGGGATTGAACTCACAACCTTGTGCTTGCCAGGCAGGCACTTATGCCACTGAGCTAAATCCCCAGCCCTGGGACTGTATTTTTAATTGGTTTTTCTCAGCTTAATTTGTTCCTGGATTGGGAGGGTCTCTCTCCCTCTGTTCGGGACTCCCTATGCTGTATTATTTTTGGAATCTAAATTGACTTATCTCAGAGAGCCTCTGTTGTTTGGTGTTATCTATCCGCCATCTTCTGAACTTGTGTCTGTTTACTTAACATATTTTTCTGGGTGCATGTTCACACTTAGGTCTCCATATCAGATTATAAGATCTTTAGAAGAACAGAATCTACTCATGCTTGTCTTTGTGGCAATAAGGATAGTTCTAGATATATAGGGAAATTCTGTAATAGTATTGGTAAATTATCAGTACCAGTAAGTTTCTCTTCTTTTTTCTTCCCCACCTTAGAGACAAACAGCAAGCTCCTCAAGTGGGATGTAAAACATAAAAGGTGAAATGCCAGATTCCTGTTCTGGTGACCCAGGGCTAAAGAGTGGGTTGAGGAGAAATGTCCCACCCATTACAGGGGATGGTGTCATTTGAAGATGTGGTGGTGGACTTCACCTGGGAGGAGTGGAAGAACTTGGATGATGCTCAGAGGACCCTGTACAGGGATGTGATGTTGGAGACCTACAGCAACCTGCTGTCACTGGGTGAGCAAACCTCCGTGGTAACCCTCAGGTGGATCATGTTCTCTTTGTTGGTAAATGTAGGAACTACTCATGAGTTTATTATGATTAAAGTGTAAGAATCCAGTGCATGAAGAATACAAATGTTGCTGCTGTGTTATGAAAGATTCACAGTGGCCACTTCTTTGAGACAGAGCTCAAAACAAGCTCAAGACAAATTGAAATTATCCTTCTTTAGAGATAACTTTCTGTCTCGATTTAGCGGTTTCATAAAGTCCTGTATTATTGTTCCCAGGAAACTGCATTACCAAACCTGATGTGATCTTCAAGCTGGAGCAAGAAGCACAGCTGTGGGTGGTAGACAAAATCCCAAACCAGATCTTCCCAGGTTGGTTTATGCACATGGGACACAGACGCTAAAACTGTACAGCCTAGCAGCTGTTGGTAATGGTGACATGCCAGTACCAGTGTTTCTAGTAGTTTTTAAGACCTGAAGATATAGCTAGTCTGCATGCATCAAACACATTATCATATAGTTTTATTTTGTTCAATATTACAGTTACATAAAATTGATTCTCCTCTTCTTGGGAATTTGTCTTTCTAGTTTCTCAGTATTCTCAGATATATTCTTTTTTCTCCATCCTTATGGAGTATTTTTCAGAATTCATTCATGTGTTTCCTTTATTCTTTTAACACAGCAATTGTGAGAATAATGTACCTCTGTCTTCAAATTTACATTCTAGTGAGAAACAAGGAATAATATGTTTTAAGTAGTTGAGTAAGAATCACAAGCACCATGTATCCAAAATTTAAGAAAAAGAAATAGGATGTTAGCATTTAAGAAGAATGGTTAAAGAAGGTTGTTTCAGGAGGACTTTTAAGTTAATTTTGGCATGGCTCCAGTTTAACTTGCCTCTTCCAATTTGACATATTTGTCTAGTATAGGTGAGTGAAAAATTTAAATTTGAAGGTAGGCATCATTATTAAAGATAAAAATTTTAAAACTGTTAAAAATACTGCTTAAAGCCATAGAGGTGGTCACCTATGGAGTTGGGAAGAAAATGAAAAAGGGTCAGAAATGAGCTGTGTGTAACATGACATCAAAAGCCATGAAACTGGAGAGCATTTGGCATAGGAGCTGGGAAAATGATGATCCTGCACTAGGAGAAAAACCAGGAGATTCTGCAACCCAATAGCAAGTGAACCAGGTGTTTCATGTTGAATAGTTCTGATTTAGATTTAGAAGTGGAGTTTGAAGCTAGCACTATCCTCCTTTTGCTGATTACTCAAAAACAGGAAAGCAAGTGAGAAATATGTAAGAGATCCTTTTTTCTATGAAAGTAAGAGACAACAGAAATTCTGTTGTACAAAACAGTAGCTTTCAGTAGCAATGAACTGCCAAGCAGCGTGTTTGTACCAGGATTTGATAGGAGAATGCTACCACTTTTGATCACAAAAGAAACAAGAACAACTTTTTATGATAGTGACAATAGACTAGTGCAAAACCAAATCCTTTAGGTTCAGCAGAGACACACCTAGGGTGGTGGGTACTAAGAAACAGGGTTTTCTGAAGAAACAGAGGCAATATGTTATTTTAGCATTATAAGGAAGTACTGTAGTATAGAAAAAAAAATTATTAATTTGAAATCAAAAAATACCCAGATGACTATAGCCATCCCCAGGGAAGAATAAAGAATAGGATGCAAATTTCCGTCCCTAAGATATGGCTCCTGGTTAGGGAACAGACCAAAGGTCCTCAGACAGCTGCAGTAGACCTTGTCTTTAAAGCTTAAGAATGAGAAAAACAGCTTGAGATATCCACCATTGTTTTAAAAATCAAATAAAGAAAAATTTAAGATAAAACAGGGAAGATAATCATAGGACAAGAGCACTAAGCAAAGCAATAGGTATTTTTACCACATATTTCTTCAAGTGTTAGATAACTAAAGATGCAAAGAAAATAGGATTTAATGGTAAAATGCTGTCGCTGTAACTTGGTACCTTAAATCAATAGGGGGAAAAACGCTGTACACTCTTATAAGTACTCATTGATATTCTCAAACTCCATGTACTACAATAGATAGGGAGAATCCTCTTTACCACTGCATGAGCATTCCTGAAGACGTGTATAGATGTGATTTGTACATTTGTCTTTATATGTAATTTTTCATTTCATTTTAGATTTCAAAAAAACACAAGACCAAATTGAGAGAAACCAGAAAAGTCAAGATAGACATTTGTGGCAGTTTGTAATCAACAGTAACACATCAGCTGTGGACACTGGTGAATCAGTGAAAATATTTAATTTGAATTCAAACCATATTTCAAAAATGATTATAAAGAGTAGAAACTGTTCGGGAATGATACCTAAGGAGTTGAATATACATCCGAACATGCATTCTCTTAATGAGCCTGCTGAGATGTGTAGTGTAGAGAAGTCTGCTGATAATACAACTGGGATACCCCTCAGAGATTCAGAAAATCTTAGTCAGCAGCCTGGAATTCAGACTGGACAGCAGGATTTTGAAGCTAGTGGACAAGGGAAAACCTTCAGTAGGCAGGCAATGTTAAAACATAAGGTTCATAGTGGAGAGACCTATAAATACAATATACACAGAAAAGCCTGTAAATCATCTGTCCTTCATAAAGAGGTCACTCAGGTACAGAAGAAAATTTTATACAAAAAGTTGAATCCCAGGAACTGGCACATAGAACCAAAGAAGAAACTCCATGAGTGTAGAGAATGTGAGGAAACTTTCATAACCAGGTCAGATCTTATAATACATCAGAAGATACACAGGGTGAGAAAACCCTATGCATGTAACCAGTGTGAGAAAGCTTTCAGGTTTAAATCGCGCCTTATTATCCATCAAAGAACTCACACAGGGGAAAAGCCTTATGGATGTAATGAGTGTACAAAAACTTACATCCAGAAGTCAAAGCTCAGTGAACACCAGAAAACTCACACTGGAGAGAAACCCCATAAATGTAATGAATGTGGGAAAACCTTCTACAAAAAGTCAGTCCTCACTGTACATCAAAGAATTCACCAAACAGAGAAACTCTATGCATGTAAACAATGTAGAAAAACTTTCAATCATAAGTCAGGCCTTGTTGAACACCTCAGAACTCACACGGGAGAAAGACCCTATGAATGTAAAGAATGCGGGAAAAGCTTTTACCGTAAATCAAACCTCAGTACTCATCAGAGGATTCACACAAACGTGAAACAATATGAATGTGAACAGTGTGAGAAGTCTTTCCGTGAGAAGGCACAGCTTACTGTACATCAAAAGACGCACACAGGTGAGAAACCCTATGAATGTAAAGAATGTAAGAAAGGTTATACAGAAAAGTTAAGCCTCATTGTACACCAGAGGAGTCATAAAGTTGAGAATCCCTATAAATGTAAAGAATGTAAGAAAAGTTATATACGGAAGGATGGCCTCATTTTACATCAGAGGAGACATAAAGGTGAGAAGCCCTATGAATGTAAGGAATGTAGGAAATCCTTCTGCCATAAATCAACCCTTATAATCCATCAGAGAAGTCACACAGGGGAAAAGCCTTATAGATGTAATGAATGCACAAAATCCTTTGTCCAGAAGTCACGTCTTACTGTGCATAAGAGAATACACACTGGAGAGAAACCCTATGAATGTAGTGAATGTGGGAAAACTTTCATCTCAAAGTCACACCTAAATGGACATCAAAAAACTCACAAAGGTGAGAAAAAGTATGAATGTAAAGAATGTAGAAAAACTTTCTATCAGAAATCATGCCTTGTTGAACACTTGAGAACTCATACCGGGGACAGACCTTATGAATGTAAAGAGTGTGGGAAAAGCTTTTACCGGAAATCAAATCTCCGCACACATCTGCGAATTCATGCTGGTTTGAAACCATATGAATGTGAACAATGTGGGAAGTCTTTTCGTGAGAAGTCACAGCTTACTGTCCATCTGGAAACCCATACTGTTGGGAAACCCTATGAATGCAAGGAATGTAAGAAAACTTACAAACGAAAGTCAGGCCTCATTTTACATCAGAGCAGTCATAAAGGTGAGAAACGCTATGAATGTAAGGAGTGCAGAAAATCTTTCTACTATAAGTCACTCCTTACTCCCCATCAGAAAACCCACATGGTAGAAAAGCCTTATCGATGTAATGAATGTGCCAAAACCTTTTTGTATACGTCACAGCTCATTGCGCATCAGAGAACTCACACTGGAGAACAACCGTACAAATGTAATGAGTGTGGGAAAACCTTCAGCAAAAAGTCATACCTTAGCAAGCACCTGAAAGCTCACAAAAGGGAGTAATCCTGCGTAGCAGAGACTGGCAGTATATTTCTAGAGTTCATTGTTTTGCTCTTGAACAAAGCTTGTACTTCTCAGCCTCCTTTTCTTGTGTTTGGGCCCATGTAACTGAGCTATATCTAAGGGAATGTAAACAGGTGTCATGAACGTTATTTCCTGGTCTGGCAGCAACAATAAGAACAGAATTGTTCATACCCATTTGGACTGAAGTATAGCTGGTACCTTTGATGGCTTTGTGAGCTATGTGTAGGAGAATGCCACCAAAACATAATACAGAAGAAATTGGTTGGAGAAAACAGAGATCTTCCCATTTCTTTCCCCAGTTCTGATTTGTGATTTGTTTTCATTACAACACAAACAGCCCACTGTGCCTAATCCACATAAAAAAACTTTCAAATATATGTGCCAGTTATTGCGTATTAGAAAATTCACACAGGAAAAAAGCTTCCCCAAGTCCGTTTATAAAATAAACTGGGATGGTGGTTCAATCCCTGTGATCACAGCACTCTCAGAGGCTGGTGCAGGAGGATCATTAAGTGTGAGCCCAACCTGGAAAATGTAGCTCATTTCAAAGGTGCTGGTTCAGTCCCTAGTTCTGCCAAAAACAAAACAAAGAAAGATACAACAGAAAATCATGGGCAGAAACTATAGAACAAATTGAGAAAAACTTATCAGATAGGCAAAATTCATCAAGCCCTGAGAATAAAGTAAAAATTTTATAAATATCACAGTTTGTAATAAAATATCTAACCTTGCTTATATATCCAAGAATATGTTACAAAGGGAAAACCACCAACTTATATATATGTGAATTATGTAGAAAATATGGCTAATACACATCTAAATTTTCTTGTGGAATTAAATATATGACAAATATTCTAGAAGTATTTGAGTACATTTTACTAGTTAAATATAAAAAGTGATGTGCACCAAGTTACATTTGGTTATAACTGGTGATGTTTCTGGTTGTCATAAGCAGTGGTGGGCAGTTGCTCCTGGCATCAGATGCAGAGCGGCCAGGAGTGTTGCTGAACAGCCCATGGTACACAGAATGGCTCCCTTCTGTATCTGGAGGTTAGGGTTAGGCACGTTCCCTGTTCATCAACGTTTTCTTGGGTGGATCCCAACATAAATATGTGTGTGGGAGATGTAAACTTAGCATAATAACTGCTGTCACTTTCATTAGGATTTTTCCATTAAATGCTATTGACTCTGCTTGTAACATTTTAACAAACTAAATACATAATTTTTTTCTAGTCTCCTGGTTTAAGCAAATTTTCATTGCCATTGTTGCCAGAGTACCTCTTAAGTAAAGTCTTTTCCCCTAAAGTTTGCTTCTAACAAAGTTTACCTGTGTGTTTAATAAAAACATATACACAGAAATGCATAAATCAGGCACATGAGTTTTACTTTAAAATTATTACTGGTAAATTTTAGTGATATGGAATAATGAGGCCCTTTTGATATACCAGTACAAACATACAACATTTAGGTGATTTTCATCCCCAGGACACCGTTTCATTCCTCCCTAATCTGATTGATCTGTGAAATCTATGATCTCTCCTTTTTAAGTTTCATTTTTAGATTGCTTACACAAGAGAAGGTTGATATTTAACTCGATGAGACTGCCTTATTCAACATGATGGTTTCCATTTCCACCCATTTTCCAGCAAAACACATGATAATGCTCCATGTTACGTAGCACATTTTTTCATTGATTCCCTTGGTGGATATCAGACCTGTTTCCCTAGCTTAGCTATTCTGAATTGCATATGCCAGTGTAGAAGTGTGTGTATGCATGTGTCACTGCAGTAAGCTGTTCTCTAACTCCTGAGGAACAGACCAGAGTGGTACGCTGGGCAAATGGTTCAACTACTTTTAGGTTTCTGAGGTGTCCTCTTAGTGACTTCCTTCCATAGTGATTGTCCTAGTTTACATTCTCACCAGCAGTGTAGTGAATTTCCTTGTCCCCATCCTCAGCAGCATACATTGTCATTCTAACAATAGTTGATGGAATCTTTGTTCTGATTTGCATTTCCCTGATAACTGAGGATATTGAATATTTCTTTTCCATAAATTTACTGGCCATTTCTATTTGAGAAATGTGTTTACTTCACTTGCCTATTCATTTATTAGGGTATTTGGTAGTTTGTGTGTGTGTGTGTGTGTGTGTGTGTGTGTGTGTGTGTGTGTGTTAAGATTGAGGTCTTTGTACTGTAAGTTAATTTTCTATCAGTAGAGTGGCTAGTAAAGATTTTAGTCTGCTAAAACGAAACGTATTCTGCTTTTGTTAGATGGAATACTAGATGTTTGTTAAGTCTGGTTTGATGTATAGTATGCTTTAATTCATATTTCTTTGATTTTTTTTTTTTTTGGTCTGGTTGACTTACTTGGGAAGAGAAGAGTATTCAAGTCACCTACCATGATTGTACTGTGGCCTGTCTGGCTGTTACCAAGTAGTGTTTGTTTTGTGAAACTAGGTGCAGTGAGTTTGGTGCATCCTTTCGATTGTAATCTTGGTGAATTGACTCCTTTACCAATATTTGGTGCTCTTCTTTGTCTTTACAGATTAATTTTAGTTTTAAATCTGTTTTGTTGGCTTTAATTATAGTCCTTCTGTTTGCTTTGGACTCCAGTTACTTGGAGTATCACTTCCCAACCTTTCATTACAGTCTGGCTATATCTTTGGGGGTAAGCTGTATTTCTTGCAGGCAACATGTAGTTAGATATTGTGTTTTGAACCAGTCTTCCAAACTGTTTCTTAATTTGAGAATAAAGGGCATTTACCTTGAGTATTGTTGTTGAAAGATATGTGTTAATTCCTTTCATTTTTTTTCCTAGTATTTGATTCCATTCTGATTTTTAACTACCTTTTTTTAATGATAAATTTTAACTTCAAGTCCCATCATGACAAATAGTAGCACACACTCCTCTTGAGCTGAATGTGATGGCACCATCTGGGATCCCTGCTACTCAGAAGAATGAAAGAGGAAGGTCACAAGTTCAAGCCCAGCCTGGGCAACTCAGCAAGCCCCTGTCTCAGAACAAAAAACAAGGACTGGGGATATAACTTAGAGGTAGCACAGGCCCTGATTTCAGTCTCTGTCTCTGGGATGTGGCTGGGGGGATCTCTGGGCCTGATGTACTCAGCTCTTCTTTTTCTGTGATACTGTATATTGCTCAGGTTCCCCATGCACTTCTGTTTTCCCTTTGTACTTGTGGTTAGAGGGACAGGTTCCTTCGGCCCCTCACTTTATAAAGTTCATTCCTGTTATCCCAGCCCTGCAGAATGCTGAGGCAGAGGACTGCATGTCTGAGCCCAGCCAGAGGAATTTAGTGAGACACGTTCAAAATAAAAAAAGGCTGGGGAGGTAGCTCTGTATGAATGCCGCGAGTTCACTCTCCAGTAAACCACAGGAACAAAAAGCCTTCTACATAAGCAAGGACGGTCATGATTAAATTTTTAAAAATATATCATTTAAGTTTAGCAGTACCTAGGTAATAGTGTTCCCTTCCTGTCCTCACAGATGAGCTGTTGACTGTCTGTTCTCTTGAGTAGAGATGTGATGTTTTACTTGTTAACATTTTGGATTATGTGGGCTGGAGGAAAGCATTACTGAGTTGCCTGTTAGAGCCCCCTGGATTGCTAACGTGTATTGTTACTCTTTAATTTGTCCAATGATATACAAATTCTTCTGAATTCTTTAGTATACAAATATCTTTGTCTTTGCACTTCACCCAGATTCCTGAGGAGCAGGTGCCCTGCCTGGTCTGCTGATTCGTGGGTTCCCTAGAGCAGCGCCTTGGCCCTTCCCTTCAGGCTCACTTGCGGGAATCTGTCCTGCCCTGGTCAGAGCGCCTCTTTCCCCCTCGCCCTCAGATCCATACTCAAGTCCACTCTCCCTGGACTGAAAGCCTCATAGGAATGCTCACCACCCCCACCCGCCCTCTGCCAGGCTGAGGGTCTCTTGATGTTTTATCTGTCTTCTCCCTGTCCTTGCTACCTCCTGATCCAGCCAACCCACAGCCTTCAACAACTCCAGCATTGAAGAACTCCTGCCTTGAATGTGTGTTCTCCCTCTTTCTACCACGACCTTCTCTGGTTTCACACTGGATCCAGCTCCTTAGACTCCTTCCTCTGCTGGATCAAAGGTCTCTTCTTCCAAGGAGCCCTCCGTGACTCCTCCCTGGAGGAAGTCCATCTTTGCACCATCCTATTCATCCTTGCCCAACTTCCCTGGCCACCTACATTGCCATCTCCCCTTCACATTCACACCCCTTCACATTCACATTCACATTCACACCCCTGGCTCTTGATTTTCCAGAAACCTCACTGAGACCCATCAGCTTTTCCTGCCTGACCCCCAACTGCCCCTTCATGTGTATCCCCAGTGATGCAAAGGAGCCAGCCAGCTCTCTGGCCTCTTCTAAGTGTGTTCTAATCTTTCCATGGGGATCCATCCTCAGGACCTAATTACCTCCCACAGACATGGCTTCCATAGACAGCACATCCTGATTAGGGTTGCAACATATGAATTGGGATAAAGAGAAAAATAGTCCACTGCCAACTCCATGCCCACTAATTGGACAGCATATATGAAATGGACAAATTTCTTGGAAATAAATCTCCAAATTCACTCAAGAAGAGATAATTTGAGACAAGTATTATCTGTATAATAAAATGAACATGCAAGGAGAAGTATACACAGACATGGATGTTTCCAAACAGTAGCTCCAGGACCAAGTGGTTTTAACCAGTGAATTCTCTTGACTATCTAAGGAAGACATAATACCAACCATACCCAACCTTTTCAAGCAAATACAGCATGAAGGACTATTTCTTAAACCATTTTATGAGGTCTGTGTTATCACAAAATGCAGATTTTAAAAAGTAATCAACATGTACTCTCAAGAAATAAACACAAAAATCCTCAAAAATAGTGTATACAGCAGTATATAAAAGGGAATAAATCACTATGATGGCATTGATTGTCAAAATGACTACAATACTAAGTCAACCAGTGTCAGCCATCATATTAATAATCCAAAAGATTAAAACCACATAATTTTAAAAATGTACACAAAATTCAAAATCCATTCAGTGTAATTAAAGGAGTAAACAAAAAATGGCTAACTTAATAATTGACACTGAATGTTTTCTCTTTAAGACTGGAAACTGACAACAGTGTCTTTGCTGACCAGCTTTACTTAACAAAGCATTCACTAGTGCAGTAATAAGAATGCAAACAAGATACAGAGTAAGTCTACATAAAATATCATCACTACCACCACACACAAACACAAAATGAACTACATAAAAGCTCTTGAACCACTGTTCCAAGTGTTTTAGAAAAAGAATAATACAATCCTATGTTAATCTCATGTTAATTGGATTTAGTGGCACATATCTGTAATCACTGCACTCTGGAAGGCTGGGGCAGGAGGATCACAAATTCAAATCTTACACAATCCTATGCTATACACAAAAAATGGTCAGAGGGAATTTGAAATCAAGAGATAGCATCATTCACCATGTTACTGAAATAGAAAAAGCAAAAAATTATTTGGCATGCTGAATTCTATAAAACTTGGATGAAAAAAATTGAATATTCTTTGATACTGTGATTTGAGGAACTATTTTCAAGATGATAATATGTAATCTACTAACAGGTGATTTCCTACTGTTATGTTTTTGTTTGTTTGTTTGTTTGTTTTGTTTTGTTTTTTTGTAGTTCTGTATTACGTGTACCCTTACACCGCTTTGGTTTGTTTTGTGTTTTTCTCTTTTTCCTCTTAAATAAAAAAAAAAATTTGAAGAAATTCATTTCTTTTTAATTTGACCTCCTATAGATTCAACCCAATCCAAGCTGAAATGCTAGCATTTTTCTGAAAATCAAGAAGCTCATGTTAATTGGATTTGGTGGCACATATCTGTAATCACTGCACTCTGGAAGGCTGAGGCAGGAGGATCGCAAATTCAAACCCAACTTAGCAACACCCTGTTAAGACAATAAAATATAAAATAAAAAAGACCTGGGGAATAGATCACTTGGGGTGTGTGTGTGTGTGTGTGTGTGTGTGTGTGTGTGTGTGTGTGTGAAAACATGAGAAAGAGAAGGAGAGGCGGGGAAGGGAGAGAAAGAGGGAGACAGAGAGAAGCTCATTTTAACAATAAAACAGAAGATGACAATTGGAAACCTAGGTGACTTCAGAATTTTTTTTGGTAGTGCTAGAGAACTGAACCCAGGGCTTTACACAAAGCTCCATCATCTCCAGCCCTCAAACCTTAATAAACAAGTAAAGTAATCAATTTAATGTGGTATTGGCATAAAGTACATAGACAGATGAATAAAAATGAGTAGATTCTGAAAATACCTGTACGAATACCCTGTTTTTCTAAGAAAGATGCAAATGTATGCAATGGAGAAAAACAGTCTTTTCAACAAGTAGTGCCGTAGTAACTGGACTCCCCTTTTAAAGAATTAAACTTGACAGCTCAAAATTTCTATGGAAATTAACATGAAACAAATCATAAACTAAGTGTAAAAAGCAAAACTTTAAAAGTTTCTAGGAAGGCAACCAGAAATAGTTTCTAGACAAAAACATAATCTATAGGAGGTAATTAAAGCATTGGACTTTATCAAGATGAGTGCTCAGTTTTGGCAGCCTCTGGCGCTACACCCATTGGAAGGCATAGTGCAGCTCTGCTCCCTACCACAGCATACAAGTCCAGGTTCCCCTCTAATCTGCACTGGCACCCTGGGGATACGGAGCTTGCTCATTAGTACAGGCATAAGACAGGCATGGTGGTAGATACCTGCAATTCCACCACACTGGGAGGCTGAGGCGGGGGATTGCCAAGCTCAAGCCCAGCCTAGCAGTGTAAGGAAGACACTGTTGCACATAACAGGTGGGAAGTAGGCAGATATCTCAGGGTGAAGGCCCAGAGTTCAAGCCTCATTACTGAAAGACAAAGGCCTCAAAACAAACTGGGCCCAAGTGGATAACAGGCTCCCTACAAGGCATGTGCAGATAATAACCATCTTCTATTCCATCCTCATTCTTTTTTCCATTTTAATTGTGTGTACAGCTGTGTGCTTACTGGGTAGAGCAGAAAGGGATGCATTTCCTCCACCTTTCCCTTCCTTAATGCCTTCCAATTCCTAGTAAATCGTTCCCTAGGAAGACCCCTCCACTTACTCAGTATAAGCTCCTAGGCTATTTCTAGTTTTGCTCTGATCACAGATCTATAAAACTATGTCCAGCGTCTCTCCTCACCGCTCCACAGTGCTACTCGCCTAAGACCAATTACCCATGAGGCTTGCATCTTCCTGGAGTTCTCCTCTGTGATTCTGTAATCTGTTGAAACTGCCTGCCCCGAGCTCCACACTACTCCATTGCTCAGGGATTCACTGAGCCTCACTATCTACTGAGCAAATTCTCTCACAGCGCTTTTGCATGAATGGAGTTTTTGTGTTATGGGGATTAAAATCTTCAAACATATCCCACTTGAATTTCTTATATAGGTGTTTCTTCTGTTTTGTGTTTCTTAGGATTGCCTAAAGTTTTATCCATTTCATTGTTTTTTCAGTCTAAGAAACAGTTTATTTCTGAGTTTGACAGTTTATTAATACTAATTTTACTTTTTAATGGTTCTGCTTAGAAAAAGTAATGTATTCGTCTTACTGTTCTCTCCTAATTCATTAAAATATGACTACAAATTTACTTGTTATTTAATTTAGCTATAGCTGAAAACTTTTTAATATGTAGTAACATTTATTATTGGACTTGATTTTCTTTTCTGGTTTTTGTTGTTGTTGTTTGGGTTGTTTTTGTTTTTGTTTTGGTAGGGGACCCACACCCTTGGTCCTGAGCTATATCTGCAGCCCAGTTTAAATTTTTATTCTGAGTCATGGTCTCACTCAGTTGGTGTTATGGTATCTGGATGCCCCCTAAAGCCTCATGCAGTATGGGGGGGGGGGGTTTAAAGACAGATTGTAAACTAGACTTATGATTTTCATGGCCTCACCTTAGGAAATGTTACAGCATTCCCAGCTCAGCTCAGCAGAGAGCCAGGGTCCTCACTTCGTAAACATCCTCAGCCTGTGCAAGAGGAGGGCGCAGAGATGGTTGAGGGCTGCACCAGCCCTAGGGGTGGTGGCCACGCACAATATAAGGCGATAGAAGAGGCTTGCTTCCCACTGGCTTTTTGTGCCTTCAGCCACCTTGAACTGGTGCCCCTCACCATGCTGCCCTGCTTTGGAGCCAGCTGATTCTGGACTGAAACCTGTACAAACTGTGATAAACTGTAAAAACTATAAGTAAACTTTTCTATCCTTAATTTTGGGTATCACACATTCTGCCACAGCAGTGAGAGAAACGTAACTAACACAGTTGCTAAACTGCTGTGTTGTGCTTGAATTTGTGATTCTCCTGCCAGTTTCCCAGAGTAGTGGGAATACATAGTAAGTGCATTTGCTTTTGTACATTCTGTTTATTAATAAAGATGAGTTTTAAATCTTTCTATGTGGAAGTATTTTGTATATTTATTTTATTAATTTACTGATGTATCATACTACGCTCAGAGAATGTTGTTTTTGAACTATTGGAGACATGAAGATTACTTTGCATTCTCTAAATGGAGTTCTAAGAACCTTATACTCATTAGAATTAGGACACCATAATATGTCTCTTAGATGAGACCTATGATGTGGAAGACATATTATTATGTTCTAATTATAATGATTATTATAATGTCTATATATTATGTTTTAAGCAAATGATATTATGACAGCCCAAGATGATTAATACAGAAAAGCACAGTAAGATATCACTTCATATCCACTAGGGCAACTAAAATCAAAACAGATAAAACGAAATTAGAACCATCATACACTGTGGTTAGAAATCAAATGTAGACCAATCACTCAGAGAAAGACAGGTAGTGCCTCAAACAGATAAGCAGAGGTAGCATACTGGCCTCATAATTCCATCCTGTGTATATATGTGAGAAAGCCACATGTTTGTATGGAAACTTGTAAATGCATACTGATATAAACACTATTGGTAATTATCAAAATGTCAAGCTTCAAATGCTTCCTGAATGATGAATGCAGAAACACACACGGTGCATCTGTACCATGGAGTATTATCTGGCCATAAGAAGGGTGAACTACTGGTATATGCTATAACAGGACCTTTGTAAACATTACAGTCAACAAAGGAGCCAATCACAAAAGCCTGGACATGACATCATTCCATTTATATGAAATGTCCAAAACAGGCTAAATCCCACACAGATGGAAATAGATCACTGTCTGTCTACCCAGGGCTGGAGAGAGTAAGAGTGAGGAGACTAAACTATGGGAACAGGTTTGTTTTTCAGGTGGGAAAACTCGTGGTGATGTTTGACATATTTATGTATGTACTTAAAATCAGTGAACTATATGGTTCAAATGAGTGGACTGTATGATATGTAAATCATATCTCAATAAAGCTGTTAAGAAAAAAGCCTTGCAAAAGTCTTCCACTGCGCTGTACTTTGAGCCCTGTGCTAAAGGCTTGGTCCCCAGGGTGACACAACTGCGGGGTGGCAGAACCCTTAAGAGATGGGGTTTTTTAGTTAGAGGATGCGACTGTGGGTGCCTGGCCCCTCTGGTCTCTTCCTTTGCTTCCTAGCTTATGAGGTGAGGTGTTGTGCTAGCTGTGCTCGCCAGAGACCCAAAGCTGTAAGAACACTGGGTTTCTGGCTGGAACTATCAGCAGAATAAACCTTTTCTGTTTATAAATTGATGGTCTCAAATTTTGGTTACAGCGACAGAAAGCGGACTGGCACAGGTACCTCAAGGTCAAAGGCTCCCCAAGTATCCCTGCCAGTGCTTACTCACCTGGGGGCTTCTGATTTAGGAATTTGTTCTCCAAGGACCATGGCTTTTGTTCTTGCTCCAACTTCAGTATTGCCCTGGCTTTGGTAATGAAATACCCTGTAAAAAGAGTCATTGGGGGAAATTGTGAGCTTGATCAAAGATGTAAAGCGCTTCTCCAAAGATGAACAAAGACAGGCCACAAGAGCAACAAGTACAGCAGAGCATCTGAAGCTCTTAATGAGAAAGATATGACATAAAGAGGTCCTTATCTAAAGGACCTTGGATCCAGTGGTTACCAAACCTTTCTACACAGACCAGTTTTACAGCAGGAACAGGAAACAAACTATGCACTGTCTCCACCTGTGAGGGAAGTCAGAGGATTACTGTTTGTGAAAAGCTGGCTCTCAGCAGGAGAAATCGAAGGCAGGAAGGCTAACAGGGTATCTTCCTCTGCAGTCTAGAGATGAATGTCATGTATGCAACAGAAATATCTGACTTTTCTAACCACCCACTAGGGTAGTGACTAATCCCAGCCCTTTAATTCATTTCTTCATTTAGACAGGGTCTCACTTAGTCCCTTAGCTGCTCAGGCAAGACTCAACCTTGCCATGCCCCTGTCTCAGCCTCCCTCAGTGCTGGGACCACAGGCACGTTGAGCATTATGAGATTTACACTCATGAAAAATTAAACATTGAAGAATGTGAATTTAGCATATTTTGGGGGAAGAAGGTTGTATGGTGCTATTTTTAATGCTTTTGTGAATACAGCCCAGAAAAAGGAGGCCAAGGATAGGAAGCAGATGTAATATGTGTATGATCCCTAATGGTAGGCAATGGGACATGTTTGCTAATAATTGTTGAACAATATACTGTTGTCCCTGAGAAATGCTTCCCTGAACCCGACACAATAAAACAGAGGCAAGCTAAAGGATGAGTGATACACAGAGTCACAAAATGAGAGCTCAGTTCTGTGTATGACTACAGAACCAGTATACAGTAAAGCAACAGGGCAGAAATCACAGCTACTTAGCATGTCATGATGGAGGAGATGGTCCTAGTGGTAGGCATCTGAATCCACCAGAGACATTACATTCACCGGGGGATATCGAGACAAAGATAAACATTACCATAAGATTGGCCCGTTAACCATAAGATTGGCCCTGTTGCAGTTTTACAGGGAACATACCAAGCCACTCTTCAATATGGAGGATAAGATTGTTTTGTGAATGACCCTGGCACAATTAGAACAAACCACCCTGTATGTGGAAGATTACTTAAGTGATATGGTTGGAAGGAGAAAAACTACATACAACCAGCCCACTGACTTCTTGAAAAAGATGATTTCTGCTTCCATCAAAGACTCAGAGACTGTGATTTTGCTATGATGCTGGAAAACACCAGTTGAAAGCTGGACCTCAATGACATAAATGTTTACAAAGATGGAAAAGAAAAATCCAGTCATGTCATCTACTCTCGTCTCCAGCGGTTCAGGCTCTCTTTGATTTTAATGAGATATAACTCTACATTCTGTCAAAAAGGTTTGCAGTGTCTGTTTCAGTAAGACAGAAGGATGAGTGGCTGAGGTGTGTGCAGAGGAAATGACCAAAGGCTCCTAGGATGGAGTATGGGAGGGTCCCTAAGATGTGAGCTCATCCCAGCTTCACTACCTGAGGGGGTGTGGTCCTCGCTAGAGGGCAGTCACTAAATTCAAAATTTTCAAGCTGATTTTATATTTTAATAAAGTCTGACATGATTCCTTCCTACTGTTCTAAACTATGTACCTGAGGCAGGTACATATAGAAAGAGTTGGGAGAGGGAACAACCAAAGCCGTATCATGGTCTCAGTTTTAATCACTAGAGAGAGCCCTAGCCAAACGATTGAATTTCTGCCTCTGAGTTGGGGTTAATTGGTCTGAAAAAGATGATATCCCATTCTGACCACTAGATGGCGCTAAAACCTTTTGAACAAAATTTGTGTGTGTGTGTGTGTGTGTGTGTGTGTGTGTGTGTGTGTGCCCCTCCTTTGCCTGTCTCTTTTACTTTTTTGCTTTTCTTTTCTTTTTTCTTTTTTTCTTTTCTTTTTTTTTAATTTTTGAAATCAAATTCCTACAAAATTGCTAAGTTGCCCAGGCTGGGCTTGAACTTGCCATTCTCCTTCCTGTCTCAGCCTCCCATTAGATACATGTATATGGCACTATGCCCACTTAAGAAAAAATAATGTAAATTCAAGACCTGTACAAGATTGGGCATACTGTCTGTTTTTTTTTTTTAAGTTAAATCACCGAAATTGCAATTGTTGAAAATACTATCTTTATTTTGTAATTCTATTATTTTTCAACTTTCTAATCTCCATTTCCCTTAAATTATCTCTCATTCTTTCTTTAGTGTGTTTTGGACAATTTCCCCAGACCTGTCTTGCAGTACATGATTTCTTTCCTCGAGTGTCTAATTAATTGATTATGCTGTTAATTGATCTGCTAGGTTTCAAAGTTTTAAGTTGCTTTATATGACCATATATATTTAAATTACTATGTAAAAGGCTACATTTAAATTTTATTGCATCATAATCAATGTATCTCAAGTTAACATTTTAAAATGTGTGGTTGGGTGCCACCTAGTACAAGCACCAGATTGTGCAATCCACACTGCTGTTAGCTCCAAAATATCTCATCCCCGCAAAGTGAAGCCCATACCCATGAGCAGTGATTTCCCATCCCATCAACCTTAGTCCTGACAAACACTGATCTCCTTTCAGTCTCTGTGGATCTCACTATGCCAGATGGTGCATATAAATGTATTCCTACAGTACAGGATCTTTGGCTTTCTTACAATATTTTCAAGGTTTATCACTGTAGAGCATGAATCAGTATTTATCTTCATGACCTAATGATATTCCGATATGTACTGTATTATTTGTACCAATTTATGAGTTGAGAACATCTGGATCATTTGGATTTTAGGTTCTTGTGAATAATGCCCCTATGAGCATTTGTGTCGATGGTTTTGTTTGTGCCTTTATTGTTTTAACGCTGGAAATACTACACACAAATAGCAGTGAAACTTTTGTGTCCAAAGCAAAGAATGCACTGGTATGAGTCTTCCTCTCCTAAATCTCTGGCACTGATAACTTGTCCTTCTGCTTGCTGGTCTTTGATGGCAGTTCGGGTTTTCACATAGCACGCTGCCTTCATTCACACCTGGATCTAGGTCTAGCCACTTCCACAGGTGAAATAGAGCCCCACGCTGTACCCATGGGTTTGCTGATACCCGGTTAACTATAGCATCAGTCCGTGCCCAAATTCAGATGCATCACCCACCCATGTTTTCACCAATACTTGGTTTAACTGGGCTTAAACATTTTTGATGGGTGGGTTATGGGTTGTCATTAGCATTTAATACACATTTTAGTTAGGTTGAGCTTTTTTTTAAATGCACCTATTCTGTGAATATTTTGTTTTAATCTTTTGCTTTCAAAATTAGGAAATAACTGTCAAAATCTGTGATTTCTCACCTTTGGCATAGCAGGTGCTTTTAAATTTTCTGTATAATCTTTTTCACATCCTTATGTAAATTAAAAGGAAAAGTCCATTTCCCAGGGGCTTTGGATGGATCCTAGCATTTCCCCAGGACTGCCAGCTAGAATTCTCCCACAAAGAG